AACCTCTCCTCAAATGAGTAAAACACCTGAATTCAAGACACCTGTTGGTTATGAATTTACTCTAGACACAAGTGGAGGTGGTTTTCGTTTTTCTACAAGAGAAGGCTCAGAATCTTCCTTCGCATTATCATCAAATCCCGATCAGTTAGAATCCACCAAGAAGCATCTAAATCCACCAGTCAAGACTGATGAATCGAAAGTGAAAGAAACCAAAGTCCATGACCCTGAGCCTGAGGTGTCAGTCATGTTACGCAAAAAGATTTCAACTCTTGAAAAAAAACAGCTTACTTTGAAGAAAAAAATTCAGGATTTAACAGACGAAAATGCGATTCTTGAAGCTGAGAAAGCTAACGCGGCTGAGCTTAAACTTACGATTGCTGAGACAAATCGTAGGTATGAAAAAATGTTCGGTGTTCTAGAGGCCTCCAGACAGCAAGTAATAAAATCGGACGAAGAAAATAAAAATCTGAAAAATGAGTTGACTAACAAGATTCTTGGCATAACTGGTCGTTTACAGAAGGAATATGATAAAGTAGAAGCTCAGAATCTAAAATTGTATGAGGAAGTAGCGTTAGGCCTAACTGAAATAGCAAAGCGAGATGAACAAATCATAGAACTGAGTACCCAGATTGATCTACTAAAAAATTCTCATGCGACTGAAGAGGATAGAATGAATAACGATATTGAAAGGTTGGAAATGGAACTTAAGGAAAAGTGTGAGTTGGTTGATGATCTGAACAAGAAGCATGATGCTCTAAAGATATGTACAGATGAACTGAAACTAAAACTGAAAGGTGTGGAATTGGATAGCGAGAGGGAAGTGACGTCTGAAGATGCAGTTTGAAGATCTTGTGTAAAGGACAATGAATGTGTGTATTTGGTGACGTAAATACAAAGCATATGGGTTTTAGCTGTAGATAAAGTCAAATGCTGGTTTGACTTTGACCATTTAGATGTATGTTGTGATGAATTTGAGATAGACTTAGTCTCATTATTCAAGTGTTGAGTTTTTCCCAATTTTCTTCTTTGTTTCCTTCTGTACGCATACATACACAAAGCAATAAGAGAACCCAGTTCATGCATGGCAATTTGGTGTCCAATTTTTTTTGTTCTAATTCCTTTACAAACACGTTTACACACACATTTTGTAACAATTTGGTATTATAGCTACAAGGTGGAAGAATCTCGTTCGAATATGAAGGAGATATGCAATTTCTGTGATTAATCATGTGAAGAATGTGATATTAAACATTTGTCTTGGGTGCCTATGTGGCTATGTATAGGACATATCACCCTTTCACAGTATTTTTTTTTTCCTAACTAGTATCGTGTCACAGTATTCGGATACATCAATTATTAGGGATGAGCATATAGACCGGGGAACCGGCCGGAACCGGAACCGGAACCCGATGGAACCGGTCGGGCCGGGATCGGTACTATAATTTTGTCAATTTTTGGAACCGGGACCCGGTAAGAACCGGTCGGTGGAACCGGCCCAAAACCGGGAACCGGACCGGATAACTCACTCAAAATTTGAAAGTTGCATAACTCACTCAATATAATTTTTTTTGCCCGGAATCTTTTTCCTACATGTATATTATGATTTGTAGTTAAGTTTAGACTATAAAAACACTTGATTTGGTTAAAAATTGAATGAGTTACAAGCCCCGCAAAGACGGATGTCAAATCAGAATTTTTTTTATGTTTCAGCAATTAAATGTAATCTGACTTTGTTGTTCAAATATACATAACTCACTCAATTTAACTTTTTTTGACCTGAATCTTTTTCCTACATGTAGATTAGGATTTGTAGTTAAGTTTAGACTATAAAAACGCTTGATTTGGTTAAAAATTGAATGGGTTACAAGTCCCGCAAGGAAGTGTGTCAATTCATACCGGTTCCAAAACCGAAAACCGGTAAAAACCGGAACCGGTAGTACCGCCGGGCCGGTTCGGTTCTTGATTTTGGCCGAAGCCGGTTCCTGGTTCGGGTCCAGGTCGGGCCGTTTCCGGCCGGTTCGGTCCGTTTGCTCCTGCCTAGTAAATATAGATTCATTAGCTTTTTCCATCGTTAACTTCTCAATCAATTTATTCTTAAGGCCATCTCCAATGGTAGTTTAATGGGGAGTTGAATGGGGAGTTTAATCCCATTAAACTCAAAATCCCCATTGTGGGTTAATGACATGGCACTCAATAGAATGGAGAGTTCAATCCCCATTGAACTCTACACTCTCTCTACTCACACACACACACACACATAAATGATGTGTCAATCCATTAAATTATATTGAGTTTAATGGAGTGTAGAGTTTAATAGGTAAAATGGTATAGTGAGTGGAATGTACATGTGGCAATCCATTGAACTCATTTGAGTTCAATGCATTGGAGATGGCCTAAGTTTTTGGTTTAGGCTTCCGCAAATCATAACAAATTACTATAAGGCCATCTCCAATGGATTAAAACCATGGAGAGTTGTATGAAATGCCAAGTAGGAAAGAGAATGTATACTGTGAGCATATATATGTATATGTAGATCATAAGAATGTGAGAAAGATGAAGTAATTTGATTAAAGGCTTCAAGCCCTTTTTGCTGTGAAAGTTTTGATACAGCTTACAGAGAAAGAAACGTTTAAAGATACATATACGAAGAGAATTAAACTAATGGGTATAAAATACATAAAGCTACCCTAAGATATAAGGAATATACAAAACGGACCCCAAAGATACAAGATAACTAGAATATACACTAACATCCCCCCTCAAACTCAAGTAGGGAAGGAATGGTTCAACTTAAGTTTGGAAACTAAAAACTGAAAACGACTGGGTAGGAGTGCCTTGGTGAATATGTCAGCATGCTAATCAGTCGTGGAAATTGGAAAAAGTTGAACAGTTTTACGAACTACATGTTGTCGAGTAAAGTGACAGTCAATCTTAATATGTTTTGTGCGTTCATGGAACACATCATTATGGGAAATTTGAATAACACTGTTGTTGTCACACCAAAGTGGAGTAGGAAGAGGCTGTGGAGCACCCATGTCAGACAAAAGCCAACGTAACCAGACTAATTCTTGA